TATCTCTTTAAGTTCTCACTGAGAGCATCTATTCTTCCTCTAAGTTGTGGAATGTGCTGTCATTAAATGAGCTTGCCATGCTCCTGGAATCCATTATGATCTAGGACACCCTCTACATTTATCCTCCTGGGTACACAGGCAACAAACTCCCATTCAGCCCAACTACTGAGGTCCATGGTTGAAAAATAACTCTGAGCTCGAGGCACTAGACTAAATTAGATCCTTTTTGGAATATCTCTGAAGTGCCATATTTTAAACTAGTTAAAAGTCTTTATGCATGTCTTTATATTCAAGATAATACAGGACTTGTTAATTTCAACTTCAAGAAATCTTCAGGATCTCAGGTGGCTGAAGAACTCCATCCCCAAAACAGCTCTGAGAGTGATGCTACAATATTGAGGAATAGAATTTAAAATTTGTGCTATGTTTTGAAATAAGGTGCCACATTGGCAGTGTGTTTCTAAATTGGCAGTCATTGGGCAGCATTCCATAATGTTTCTAGTTTCTGTCTTAATTGAACTGATTGGGAACACATCAAGAGTTACAACTTCAAATTGTTATAATGTGCGGCTTGTCATGCTGTGGCTATGACAGAAGTACTTTCAATACTTTACAAAGCTTATAACTTTTCTTTTAAATTATCTCTTTGAGTTGAAGTTTCCCTTAGGTATAATATACCTTAAGATTAAATTTGGTTAGCACCTTTATAGTTCAGAATTTAAACTAGTTAAAAGTCTGTATGCATGTCTTTATATTCAAGATAATACAGGACTTGTTAATTTCAACTTCAAGAAATCTTCAGAAACTTTGTAGGGACTTTAGCAATAAATTTAGAAAACAGTTTTTATAATAATGTACAGTATTTTCATGGATAAAAATATGGCACTTCAGAGAGATTCCAAAAAAGAATTTAATTTAGTCTAGTGCCTCAAGCTCAGAGTCATTTTTCTTTTATTTTAATTAATTAATTAATTTATTTTTGTTACAGATGTTTCTCCCCCCCCCCACTGATACCCCCCCCCTTCCTCCCCACCCTGTCCCCAGCTTTGTTGTCCATGTCCGTTGTTCATGCATACATGCATATAAGTTCTATGGTTTATCTCTCCCCCTCAACTCCCTCTTCTGAGGATTGTCAGTCTGTACCCCACTTCCATGTCTCTGGGACTTCCCTGTTCCTCAGACTGTTATGTTCATTATATTCCACAAATAAGTGAGATCATGTGATATTTGTCTTTCTCTGCTTGGATTGTTTCGCTTAGGATAATAGTCTCCAGGTCCCTCCATGTCGTCTCAAAGGATAAGAGATCTTTCTTTCTTAGAGCTGCATAGTACTCTATTGTGTATATGTACCACAGCTTTTTTTTTTTTTTTTTTTTTAATCCTCACTCGAGGATGCCACTTTCTGGCTCCTCTCCTGTCCTTAACACCATTTGCTGACTATAGCACACCAGTCCACACATGACATACCACTATGGAGCAACATTTAAACAGTAGCAGAATAACATGGATCGAGTGGGAGAAGAAGGCCACAGAGATGCCACAGCCATAGCTGGAGGTGAAGTAAAGACCCTTTAAGAATACTCATTGCTGATCAGGTGACAGAAAGCGTCTCCTCCTGTTAGATTCTGCAGACTATCAAGGCAGTTTCTACCTTAAACTACTCTCTTCTTTCCCCATCTCTGTCATGTGCCTCTGTGCATCTGGTGGTATGCGTGCATGTGTATTAGTAGGTTTGCTCTCTCTTTTGTTCTTCACTTTATTATAGCCAGTTAAATAGAAAGTAAGAAAGAAAGGTACAAATAAAGATAAAGATATGGATACTTCTGGCAAAGTTTAAGACAGAAAAGAGACATTAAGGAGGAAATGAGAAAAGAACACATTTTGAAAAAGATGTGAAGCAGTCCCTGATGGGTAGAGAGTAAGAGTATATTTTTCCTGGATCTTCTGAAGATATCCTGGTTACTTAGTACATTTGTATCCCAGCTTCCCAAGTGAATGGCTTTATTTATTAAGACTGATAGCATTATCATTGAAAATGATCAGTCATTATAAGGCTTTCTTACATAGGAGATCCATGGTGCTCATTTTAAATTAAGCCAAGGGAGTGCTGGATAATTATCATTTATTCAACATATATTTAATGATGAGGATGCTAGACTCATGAAATTTATAGCCTGATGGGGATACAGATAAATAAACAGGCAAATGACATCACCAAGTGGCAAATGCTGTGATGGGAAGGCAAAAAGAAGAAAGGGAGTACCAGAAGAGAATGATTTACCCAATCTTGGGGAGTGAGGGAAGGCTTTGAAAGGAAGTGAGATTGTGTGTTGCATTCTTATGGGTGAAAAGGAGCCAACCAAAAATGGCCAAAAGATTGAATGTGCCTATGTTTGGGGATAAGAAAGCATGACCCCATGTCTGAAGTACTATGAGTGGTCCTAAATGGCTAAACAGAAACTGGTGAGAGACAACACTGGAGAGTTAAGTGGGAGCAAGATCATGAAGAATCTTCCACATCATATAAAGGAGTTTGAAAGTTACATTGGGTGGCCATTTTCCTATATAAATTTTATATTTCACCCTATTTGACTTTTTTAAATCATAGATATTATAATAGCATAAGAGGTAGCCATTTGTTTGTCATACATAAATAAGAACTTTCAAAAGTAGGCATGTGCGTAGAAAAGGGTTAATAGAGAAGGCTTCTGTTCATTGTAAGGCTTGCTTGCAAGGTTGGTCTTCAGCTGGCTTTTGGGAACTTGGCTGATAAACAGTTCCCTACACTGATGTAAACCTTTCCCTAACAGAAAAGGGTGGCACAATGTGTTTAGACTATGCAAACAATACTGTTTATACTTAAGTAAACCTACTTTCTTTCTGGGACTCTGGAGTTTTGATATACACTGGGCAGAGGGTGCTTATGTGACCAGCCCTCAATGAAAGCATTAGGTGCTGAGTCTGTAATAGGCTTTGTTGGGCAGAAACATCTCACATAGGGTCGTGCACTTTCATATTTGGGAAAAGGGTACGTTATGTGTGACCTGTCATGAGAAGGAGAGACCATATGAAAGCTGCACGTGGAATCCTCCAGACTCCACCTATCTTTCCCCGTTGTGATTCACTGTATATTCTACTGCATCACTTTGATAAATCTTAGTCGAGAGTACAATTATATGGTAAGTCCATGAGACTTTCCAGCAAATCTAACAGAGAGGAGGCCTTGAGGATCCCCAACACACATGCTATGAATATTTACCTATAAATATTTATTGAGTAAACAATTGACCTATCAAGAGGTAGAAGTATTAGTGTCCTCGTTTTGATTTTTTAACCAAAAGTTGTATACCCATTATGATCTCCCACTGTACTTTTCAAATTCTCAAACTTGACTCTGAATTTCTTTTGGCTTTTTTACCCTCAAGTAACAGAGATGTGTTTTAAGGACAGTCAAAAGAAAGCTGTATTATCTCTATTTCAAATCAGGAGATCCAGAAAACATTTGAATAATGGCAAAAGTTCTTGAAATGTTTATAGTGTCCCAAGCTAACTACTTTTTTTTTTTTTCTTTTAACAAGTGAGAATTTAGTTGATTGTGCAGTTTCTGGTATACTAAAGTCATCATTATTGTAGTCCTACACCCAAATGCAGACAGCCTCTCTTGTCACATTAAAAATACATTAGTATGTACAGAGTATTAGTAATACTAATACTATTATTGGTTGTATAGCCATGGGCTAGATACTTTTTTTATAATTTATATTGATTGGGAACTTCTACTTCAGGCTTACTAACAAATAATTTCTTTTTAAACAACTAAAAGAAATTCCTGGGTTTTAAATGAAACTCACCTGAAGGAACTTAGAACCAACCAGGAAATCCTTGGGCTTCACCTTCATTTTTGTAAATTCTTTGGAGAGCTCTGTTCTTGCTTACAGAGTAACTGGCAGTGGTGTGACCCCACTGAACAGTCCCCCTTGGACAGGTTTTATATTTCCTTTCCATCATCTTTGTCTCCCACTGGACTGAGGTAGGATTGTAAAAATGATGGGTTTACTGCTCCCTGATTTCCACGTGGCCTTGTAAGCCCTTCACTGTAGCCTTTTCTGGGACTCAGCAGATAAAGAACACTACTTCTGAAGCATAGCTGGGCTTGTTTTTGATCTTTATTTCTTGTCTAATTGGAGGAGATTTACAGTTCATAAGTGGACTTAATATAGAAGTTCCCTGCAGTTGTTACTATGCAGCAACATAGTGGTTTCTCAACATAGGCTATTTTACATTGTTTCTGCTCCCATTTTATTGCCTTCCCATTCTTTATTTTTCTTTTTTCTTTTTCGCTTATCATATCGTCAAACTCCTCCCCTCTGTTGGACATAAACGCTTATTTTAATACTTGTTTTACTTACAGAGTGAAGTTTTATGTTTCTTATTTATAATTTCAAAACAAATGAAATATTTTTATTGTATTTCTCTGCAATAATTTCATGGAATTATTTTTATTTATGCAGGCCTAGATTTTTTTTGTTATGTTGGAGCAGGGGTATTGTTTTATTTGGCTTGGTTTTGTCCTTCTGGGCCAACAGCTTTAATGGAAAGTATGTTTTCTATTTCTGATGTAAGTCTACTTGGAATCAGTTACTTGCCAACAAAAGTTCAGTTCTAATCAAAGTACAGGTTATTCACTTAGGCCCTTGTCCTTGGAGGCCTGTTTTTTTTTTATTATTACTTTTACTTTAATCAGTTAGTTGTCTTATGATTACATATAAGAAGAAACATAAAACCTAGTATTCATATTCAACTACTTATTTGTAAAAAGCCCGGCTTAATGAAGCATGTGTTGCAAGATTTTCGGTGTTTGTTGTGTCATTAGGTTTAGAAGAAAAGTTCCTAAGGCTGCTAATAGTAACCATCATAACCTGATAGTGTGATTTTATTTTTTTCTGAAAAGATGTGTCGTTATTGCATCCTCTAATAGCCTTTGCTATTTTCTATTCCAGTTTCCCAGAGAGATGGTCATTCCGAGCCTATACCTCTGTTCTGTATTTTGACCCTTGGATGAGAATATTTATTCAGGCCAGAAAAGTTAAAACAAAACACCTATGTCATTGCCTCTACAGACCCAGGTAACTCAAGTTCCTTTAATTATCTTCATACAGTTTTTATTTATAAAATCAATATGCCCTCCTCCCCAAAATTATTAAAGTGATTTATTAGTAAGATTTTTACAATTCAATGGCAAGATTTTACAATTTGATGGTAAGATTTTTGCTATTGTAAATAAAATTTAAATTGCATTCTGGAATATTTACCAAAGAGTAATCATATGTAACAAATATTTGGCCATAATAGCAAAACACTGCACTGAACTCTTTAAGTTAGATAATCACCTCAAGTAAGATTTATTTTTATTTTTTATTTTTATTTTTATGTTTATTTGTTTATTTATTTATTTAATCCTCACCCGAGGACATTCTTGCATTCTTCTTCAGATAGAGCAAGAGGGAGAAAGAGAGGAAGAGAGAGAGAGAAACATCGATGTCAGAGAGACACATCGACTGGTTGCCACCCACACGACCCCAACACGGGCTGGGGACAAACTGAAACCAAGGTAGGTGCCCTTAGCGGGAACCAAACCCAGGTCTCTCTGGTCCACAGGCCAACAGTCTAACCACTGAGCCAAACTGGCCAGAATTTGTTTTATACTTTAATGACTCTTAGATGCTTTGCTTGTGATAGTTCCCATTTTTTTAAAAAATCACAAGTCATTTATAATTTTTGTTTACTAAATATATTTGAACGATTAAATCACCTACTTTTATATGTGTATATATTTTATGTAAAAATGAACATGTTTATAAATACACATTTGGTTCATTTATATTTCATTTATATTTTATATTTTAGCATAAACTTTTTTTTATTACCACAATAGATCTAGTTAACATCTATTGCCATACATGGTTACAAATTTTTTTTCTTGTGATGAAAACTTTTAAGATCTACTACCTTACAACTTTCAGACATGCAATTTAACTGTAGTTAACATGTTATATATTACATCCCCATGACTTATTTTATAACTGAAAGTTTGTAACAGCATAAACATGTGTGAGGTTTCCTTGAATATATACTCAGAAGTGATTATAAGGATGATTGAGGAACTTAGAACTTCAACAAAGAAAATGCAAGCATAAAAAAGGACCAGTCATAAATGAAGAATACAATAGCTGAAATGAAGAATATATTAGAAGGAATAAACAGTAGGTTAAATGAAGGAGAGGATTAAATTAATGTTTTAGAAGACAAAGTAGAAAAAAATACCCCATCAGAATAGGGAAAAAAAGAATTTTATAAAATGAGAATAGTTTAAGGGACCTTTATGACAATATAAAGCATAACAACATCTGCATCATAGGTGTACCAGAAGGAGAAGAGGGAGAACAAAGGATTGAGAAACTATTTGAAGAAAAAAAATGACTGAAAATATCCCTAAACTGGTTAAGTACAAAGACACACAAGTCCAGGCTGCGATGAGAGTCTCAGAGAAGATGAACCCAAAGAGGTCCACACTAAGACACATCATAGTTAAAATGGCAAAGCTTAAAGACAAAGAGAGAATCTTAAATGCAGGAAAAGAAAGTTAGTTAGTTACCTATAAGGGAGCTCCCATAGACTTTCAGCTGATTTCCAACAGAAATTTTGGGGTAGAAGGAATTGGCATGAAATATTCAAAGTGATGAAAAGCAAGGAGCTACAACCAAGACAACTTTACCCAGCAAGACTATCATTTACAATTGAAGGGGAGACAGGCTGATATAGCTCAGTGGTTGAGTGTTGACCCATGAACCAGGAGGTCACTGGTTTGATTTCCGGTCAGGGCACATACCCAGGTTATGGGCCCAATCCCCAGTTGGGGGGTACATGCAAGAGGCAGCCAATCAATGTTTCTCTCTCATTGATGTTTCTATCTCTCTCTCCCTCTTCCTTTTTCTCTAAAAACCAATGAAGAAAAAAAAATTTTTAATAAAATAAAATAGAATCAAAGGGGAAATAAAGAGCTTCCCAGACAAGAGAAAGTGAAAGGAGTTTGTTGCCACCAAAACAGTATTATAAAAAATGTTAAAGGGTCTTCTTTAAGAAGAAGAAGAAAAGTAGAGGAACATAGTTAAAAGAATAAAATGGCAACAAATACATACCTATCAGTAATCAATTTAAATTTAAATGGCTTAAATGTTCTAATCAAAAGACATAGGGTAACTGAATGGATAAGAAAATAAGACCTATATTATGCTGTCCACAAAAGGCCCATTTCAGGATGAAAGATACACATAGACTAAAAGTAAAGGGATGAAAAAAGATATTTCATGCAAATGGAAAGGGAAAAAAGCTGGGGTAGCAATACTTATATCTGACAAAATAGACTTTCAAACAAAGCTATAGTGGCATACAAACAAGGACAGTTTGTTAAATGATAAAGGGAGCAATCCAACAAGAGGATATAATCCTTGTAAACATTTATGCACCCAATTTAGGGGCTGCTAAATAGGTAAAATAAATGTTAATGAACGTATAGGGAGAGATTGATAGTAATACAGTCATAGTAGGGGATTTTAACACCACATTGACATCTATGAATAGATTTGCCAGATAGAAATCAACAAGGAAACAGTGGCCTGAAATGATATACCAGATTCAGATGGATTAAATAGATATCTATAGATCATTTCATCCCAAAGCAGCAGGATATACATGCTTTTCAAGTGTGTGCAATATTTTATGGACTAAACCTTATGTGATGCCACAAAACAAATATCAATAAATTTAAGATTGAAATAATTTCAAGCATCTTCTCTGACTATAATGATATCAAACTAGAAATCACACACACACAAAAAACTGAAAAACACACACAAACATGGAGGTTAAATAACACCTTACCATACAATTAAATGGGTTAACGATACTATCAAGGAAAAAATAAAAAGATACCTTGAAACAAATGGACATGAGAACACTACAACCAAAAATCTGTGGGGCATAGCAAAAGCAGTCCAAAGAGGGAAATTCACAGCATTATAGGCCCATCTCAAGAAGTAAGAAGAATCTCAAATGAATCATCTAACTTTACATTTAACAGAACTTGCAAAAGAGCAACAAACAAAGCCAAAAGTGAATACAAAGAAGGAAATAATAAAGATCAGAGCAGAAATAAATGATATAGAGTTTTTAAAAAACACATACACACACAACAGCCTGGCCTGTGTGGCTCAATGGTTGAGTGTTGACTCATGCACCAAGAAATCGCCAGTTCAATTCCCGGTAGGGCACATGCCCAGGTTGTGGGCCAAATCCCCAGTGGGGGTCATGTAGGAGGTGGCCAATCAGTGTTCTCTCTCATTGATGTTTCTATCTCTCTCTCTAAAATCAATAAAGAAAAAAACCAACAACATTATAAAAGATCAATTAAACCAAGAGATGGTTCTTTGAAAAGACTGACAAACCTTTAACCAGACTTATTTAAAAAAAAAAAAAGAAACCCAAATAAATAAAATCAGAAATGAAAGAGAGAAGTAACAACTAATACCACAGAAATGCAAAGGGTTTAAGAAAATATTGCAAACAACTATATGCCAACAAATTGAACAATCTGGAAAAAAAAGGATAAATTCCTAGAATCATATAACCTTCAAAAACTGAATCAGGAAGTATCAGAGAATTTGAGTAGACAGAATACAATTAGTGAAGTTGAAACAATAATAAAATAATAATAATAACAACAACAACAATAATAAAAACCTCCCACAAACAGAAGTCCTGGGTCATATGCCTTCAACGGCGAATGTTACCCAACATTCAAAGAAGAACACCTAACCTTCTCAAAATAGTCCAAAAAACACAAGAGGAAGGAAGACTCCCAAACTCATTTTACAAGGCCAGCATTATCATAATTCCAAAACCAGCTAAAGACACCACAAAGATAGTAAATTAGAGGCCAATATCCCTGTTGAACATAGATGCTAAAATTCTCCACAAAATATTTGCAAACTGAATCCAGTGATACAGTAAAAAGATCATACACCATGATCAAGTGAGATTTATTTGGGGGATTCAAAGTTGATACAATATCTACAAATCAATAAACACAACACACTACATAAATAAAATGAAGGATAAAAATCACATGATCATAACAAAGATGCAGAAAAACCATTTGATAAAATACAGCACCCATTTATGATAAAAATTCTCAGCAAAGTGGGGACAGAGAGAACTTACCTCAGTGTAATAAAGGTCATATATGACAAACCCATAACCGACATCATACTCACTGAGCAAAAACTACAAGCATTTCCCATAAGATTAGGAACAACACAGGGATGTCTGCATTCACCATTCTTATTCAACATAGTACTAGAAGTCCTAGCCACAGCAATCAGACAAGAAGAAGAAATAAAAGGCATCCAAATTGGTAAGGAAGAAGTAAAACTGTCATTATTTGATGTGATATAGAGAACATTAATGATTCTACCAACAAACTATTAGATTTAATCAATTACTTCAGTAAAGTAGCAGGATACAAAATAAATATCCACAAATTGGTTGCATTTTTATGTACCAATAATGAAGTATCAGAAAAGGAAACTAAGAAAACAATCTCATTTACATTAATTAATAAGAATAAAATGCCTATAGAATAAATTTAACCAAGGATATAAAAGACCTATATTCATAAAATTATAAGACCCTGAAGAAAGAAACTGAAGAAGATACAAATAAGTGGAAGCATATACTGTGTCCATGGATAGGAAGAAGTAACATCATTAAAATGACCATACTACCCAAAGTAATCTATAGATTAAACACAATTTTTATCAAGATACCAATGGCATATTTCATAGAACTAGAACAAATAATCTGAAATTTTATGTGGAACCACAAAAGACCCTGAATAGCAGCAGTGATCTTGAGAAAAAAAGAACAAAGTTGGAGGAATTACTCTGATAACAAACTATACTACAAGGCCATAGTAATCAAAACATCATGGTACTGGCATAAGAACAGCCATATAGATCAATGGAACAGAATAGAGAGCCTGGAAATAAACCCATGCCTTTATAGTAAATTAATATTTGACAAATGAGGCAAAAACATAGAATCTTTTCAATAAATAGTGTTTGGAATATTGGACAGATACATGCAAAAATAAAACTAAAACTACACCATACACAAGAATAAACTCAAAATGGATTAAAGCCTTAAATGTTAGACTCAAAACCATAAAAATCCTAGAAAACATAGGCAGTAAAATCTTGGCCATTACTCAGAGCAATATTTTTTCTGATATATTTCCTCAGGCAAGGGAAACAAAAGAAAAAATAAATAAATGGGACTGCAGCAAACTAAAATGTTTTTACACAGCAAAGGAAACCATCAACAAAAGGAAAAGACAACACACTGAATGGGAGAATATATTTGCCGATACATCTGATAAGGGATTAATAGTCAGCATTTATAAAGAACTTATAAAACTCAACACCAAAAAAAACCCACACCAATTAAAAAATGGGAAGTCCTGGCTGGTTTGGCTTAGCAGTTAGAGCGTCGGCCCACGGACCAGAGAGTCCCGGGTTCAGTTCCTGCTAAGGGCATGTGCCTTGGTTGCAGTTTGTCCCTGGTCCCGGTTGGGGTCGTGTGGGTGGCAACCACTCAATGTGTCTCTCTCACGTCGATGTTTCTCTCTCTCTCTTCCTCCCTCCCACTCTATCTGAAGATAAATGCAAAAATGTCCTCTGGTAAGGATCAAAAAAAAAGGGCAAAGGATCTAATACACACTTCTTAAAAGAGGATTTACAGACAGCCAATAGACATGAAAAGATGCTCAACTTCACTAATCATCAGAGAAATGCAAATTAAAACCACAATGACATGTCATCTCACACCTGTCAGAATGGCTATCATCAATAAATTAACAAACAACAGTGTTGGTAAGGATGTGGAGAAAAGGGAACCCTTATGCACTGTTGGTGGGAATGCAGATTGGTGCAGCCACTATGGAAAGCAATATGGAGTTACTTCAAAATATTAAAAATGGAACTTACAACCCAGTGATTTTACTTCTGGGAGTTTATTTGAAGAAGCCCGAAACACTAATTCAAAAGAAGATATGCGCCCCTGTATTCATTGCAGCGTTATTTCCAATAACCAAGATTTGGAAGCAGCCCTGGTGCCCATCAGTAGATAAGTAGATCAAAAAGTGGTGGTGCATTACACAATGGAATACTACTCGACTATAAAAAGGGAGAAACATGTTACCCTTTGTGACAGCATGGATGGACCTGGAGAACATCTAAGTGAAATAAGCCAGTCAGAGAAAGACAAATACCCTGTGATTTCACTCATATGTGGAATCTAATGAACGAACTAAACTACCAAGCAAAATAGAGACCAACTCAGATAGAAAGCATGGAGACAGTGCTGGGGAGGGGGTTGAGGGGAGTGGATTGAGCAAAAAAGACAAAAAAAAATAACTCATGGATGTGGACAACAGTGTGCTGATTGCACGGAGCTGGGAAGCGTGGTTGTGGAAGAGGGCACAGAGAGGGGATAAGTGGTGTTGGAAAAAATAAAATAAAAGTAAACTAAATAAAATTTATTTGTAGACAAAAAAGAAAAAAAGGAAGGAGTCTTACCGTTTAAGACAGCATGGATGGAACTGGAGAACATTATGCTAAGGAAATAATCTGGTTAGAGGAAGACAGATACCACATGATTCCACTCATATGTCAAATCTAATGAACAAAATTAACAAACCAAATAGAAACAGACTCACAGCTGTCAGAGGGGCAGGGTTATGGGGCTGAGTGAAAAAGGTGAAGGGATTAAGGAAGAACTCATAGACACAGACAACAGTATTGTGATGACCAGAGGGGAAGGGGGGGGCGTGGAGGTGGAAGAGGGTAAAGTGGGGATAAATGGTGATGAAAGGAGACTTGACTTGGGGTGGTGAACACAGTACAATATACAGATGATGTATTGTAGGATTAAATACCTGAAACATATATAGTTTAATTTTTTTTCCCTTTATTGATTTTTTTTTTTTTTTAGAGGGAAAGAGAGAGATAGAAACATGGATGAGAGAAAACATCGATTGGCTGCCTCCTGCTTGCCCCCAACTGGGAATCGGGCCCACAACCTGCGCATGTGTCCTGACCAGGAATTGAACTGGCAGTCTCTTGGTGCATGGGTCGACGCTCAACTGCTGAGCCACACCAGCTGGACCTATATAGTTTTATTAACCAATGTCACCCCAATAAATTCAATAAAATTTTTTTTCAAATATTAAAAGTTAACAACTTCTTTCTTAGGTATATTCTGATTTATTAGCTGGATGCAACTTACACTGTGAATTTTTTTAAATAATTGTTTATCTCTGGAGTATGTAGTGTTTGTTCTTAAAGAATATTCTTTCATTATACTTGAAAATGATCATCTGACTTGATAATTTTATTTTATTTTTCAGAAAGTATCTATATGTCACATCTTCTTTCAAAGGAGCATTTAAAAATGAAGTTAAAAAGGCAGAAGAAGCAGTGAAGATTGGTATGTAATTACCTATGGCCTACCTCATTATTGTTCAGTCATTCTACAGACATTAATTATGCATATGTTCTAATATGTATACTTCTCTAGGCATTGTAGGAACGACTACAATTAATCAAATGTAGTTTCTACCTCCAAGGAATTTTATAACACTTTTTTTTCCCATTTCTGGTTTTGTTTAATTATTATGTTATTTATTATTATAAGTATGATCACTGATGCTGAGTTAGATCGTTCCAGAGACTAGTGTTGCATCCACTTTAAGAAGGGATGTTCTTCACATTCACAGGAAGGACAGAGCCATTCCTTCCCAGTGATGCCACAGGGAGGAGCAGCTCTTCACCGTATTTCACGGCGTTAGATCGTCTTCAGTCAGCCAAACATTCAGCTGTGACTTGCGAATTTGTACATAGATGTTTTTGCCCTTTAACTTGTCATGTCTAAGAGGAAGTACAGTATGGCTACCTACACTTAGACTGTGTAAGAGCTATGGAAGGAATATAGGGTTTTCTGAGATGATTATTTGTAAACCTTTCTCCTGGTTGTGGCTAGGTTCTCAAGCTTGTCATTCTGGAAGGCTGTTCGAAAAGCCATTTTGTTCGAAAACAAAATCATTTTTTTTCCCCTTAGAAATAATGTAAATTGAATTAATCTGTTCCAGACCCACAAATGCTTCCCTGTTTTAACCTTTCTTATATACAGTACATGTCTAATGTTCTGTTTACTCTGTAAACCAACATTTCTATCCTTAAATTTATTGAACAACCCTCTACTCGCCTTAAAGGAATCCCTTTCAGCCCTCCTTCCAGGGGTGTTTTCAGGAGGTCAGCAGGGGGCAGCTACTCCTTTTCACATATCACTGCCTCCAAAGTGCTGTCCCTGGCCAACTGCTTTTTGTGCATCCAAATCAACAACAGTTTTTCTACCTCTTCAATTGCCTGTGATTGTTGTTTTGTGAGCACTTTCACACTCTTACCAACCCCAGTACTCTGGATGGCCTCTTTATGTTTTAAAATTGTGCTAATCCTGGATTTCACCAGAAACAAAAGCATTTGTTTGTAGCCTGAGAGACACTTTTTGTCATGCAGAGGTATGGGCATGAAAGCTTGTCAGTTGGAAAACAAGTTTTGGTCCACAATGAGACATTTTTCCCCTGTGAACAACTTGCTTGAGAACTGAAGTGTTTGAAATGGGAGACATTCAAGAACCTAGGTTTGACTCTGTGTGTGTGTGTACACACACATATGTGCGCGCGCACGTACAATGCTCACTTAAAATTTCTTGAAAGAATTTCATGGTATTATAGTTACCTTGTTTCTGCTTCTAGCTGAACTCAGGTTGAAAGATGTGCAAATCAAGGTAAACCAGCCTGACAGAACTTCCTTGTCTTCTCCCGCCAAGGTATGACATATCAAATAGTCTTCTTAAATGGCAAAAACAGTGTTCTTTGCTTCTTCCTGTACACAGTTGTTTCTTATCATTTGCTGCCTAAACTTTTAAACGCAGGCCAGCTCAGATGACTAAGCCGATTTTAACACAGGTAAACAGAATAGATGAATGCAGAGAAAAGAGATGAAACTCAGCAAGTGGGGGAAGGCTGAAACAGCAAAGATGAAAAGAATGTGGGCTGAATTTGGAACAGTGGGGAAGAGAATCACAACTTATTTTTTTTTTTTAATGAAAAGAAAAGGAATTTAAGAAAAAGAGAAAAAAATGAAAAGCAGAAAAAAACTAGCTTATCCAGTCTACTTGAAAATACCTTTTCAAATTATAGCTCCCTATGGATCTAAATAAATGGGCAGAGCAGGAAGAAGACTAATAAGCAATCCTTTCTAGTGCTGGGAATTATGTGCTGTAGTTATGAATATTAATAACAATGCTTCCAGCTCACACAGCTCTTTTCGTACGAGGTGCTCCCCACAGTTCATAAACATTCTCTGTAATTCTTGCAGTATACCCATGAGTAGAATAGGTTATGAAGAACTATTATTATTAATTATAATGCATGGCAAATAAGAGAAAAAGAATATTGCTGCAGGACATTCTGCATATTATAAGTTTGCTAACTTTTATCAAAAATAGGGTACAAAGCTTTTTACCCTGGTGAATCATTACCCAACATACTTACTTGCTTACAAAGGGATAAGAAGGTATTTGGAGAAAAAAGGCTTTATTTCATCTTTCCTGATCCTCTTCTGTGGACTCACTGTGTGAATTCCTTTTGTGACTTGCCCTAACTTTTAAAGACCTGGGCTGTGTCTGATGAGCTCTCATATCTAGAGGTCATGATTGAGGATGAAATCAGACAGTAGCACATGGTAATGCCCCAAAGCTATCCACAGCTCTCCCCACATTCTCTTACTCTTTTTTTCACTTATTTTTTTAAAGTTAAAGCTAAACCTATTTTGCTATCAATGTCGCTGCCTCTTTGTCCTATGCTCTAAATGCAGACAGGAAGGGCAGCAACCAGCTCACTTGGTTGCTCTGATGCACACTGGTTTTTGTAACTCAGAGAAGAGAGCAAAGCAGAATGACCTCAGCTTTTGACTTCTTGAAGTCCACTCAGCCGCTGAGTGGTTGAATTTGAAGTGAAATGAAATTCTTACCAACCATTTACATTTATTTATTTATTTATTTATTTATTTATTTATTGTTGTTAATCCTCTTATTAGATAAAGTGCAAGGGAGGGGGAGAGAGAGAGAGAGAGAAAGAAGCATTGATGTGAGAGAGACACACTGATTGGTTACCTCTCACATGACCCTGACCGAAGCAGGGAATTGAACCTGTAGCCCAGGTACCTGCCCTTGACTGGGAATCAAATCCATGACCCTTCAGTCTGTGGGCTGACACTCTAACTGCTGAGCCAAACTGGCCAGGGCTATCTTTCTTTCTTTATTTATTTCTTAAGTCAGTGAAAATAATGTTCAGTTAGTGGTATACCCATCAAATGAGATGCCCATTTTTCACATTAGGTGGATGAAGCACATTAAAAGTCTCTTCTTATTTGCATTTTTTTCTGTCTCATTAGAGGGAGTGTATTAGAGATAAGGTAGGGAATGGCCCAAACATGTCAAATTAAAAGAGAAGGAAAACAGAGGGAACTGGTATTGAGGCACTCTGAAAGGCAGAAAGCCTACAGATGGGATATCCTCTAAAGGGAATATCCAGAGGGTATCGGGAACTTTTTCTATAAAGAAGATATTTTCTTTTATCTACTGACAAAAGTTTTTAATTGTAATGTTTTTTCTAAAAGAAGCCTTAGTGATTGATCATGTGATTCAGCATTTTCTATTCTCACAGATGAAAACCAGAGTCTAGGTACGCTGAATGACTTTCCCAAGCTTTCAGAAAGTTTGTGCGGTTACAGAGAGCGGTGCGCCTTCTCTGAAAGGCACAGAGGACATGGGAGTTTGTGCAAGAAGAGAATTGTAGGCTGGGATTTAGTTTGTCATCTTAGCTATTGGAACTTAGTCATTTATCAAGTATTTATTGGGTATCTAGTGTGGTAAAATTGCATTAGGCAATGTGACCTAGCACTGGTACCCTTGTGAAACATTTGTATAATAGGATAATAAATATAAGCTCAGCTTTCATTAATTTAATGGCATAATGTTCTCTCCTAACCAAATGTTCTTCCCCAGGACATATTACAGAATGCTTTGGAAGATGTGGAAGCAAAGCATAAGATTCTTAAAGAGAAACGGAGGTAAGACATAAGATTTTCGCTTTGCCAGAATCCTCTGGGCTATATTAAAACAAACTGATTTCTTAGTAGGCATATTTGTTGGTTTTTGTGACAAATTCTCTTTCTCACCCTGTGACATCTTATGATACTAAGCATAATATGATCAAAATCCTCCAACCAACATAATCAATATGAAATATTTATAAAATGTATATTTGCATGTATACGTATGTTTACATAATGTTAAAACTTCTGAATACCGAGTGAAAAATCAGTTCAGGGTCTGGTCAGAGGAAGAAGTGAACTTCCCAGGGATCAGCGAACAGCTTTACTTTCTCTGTACCCTGGTCATTTAAACTCTGGGAAGCTGATCCCAGTTTCTTCCCTCTTCTAGTACTGATGAAAATGTAAGACAGAAATATTTCAAGTAAATGTATCACTTATATTTAGTTAAGATAAAAATAGCAGGCCTGTATTACACCACCATTTACATTTGTAAGGTCAGACTTTGAAAACTGCATTGTCTTTGAGAAGCAACTTTTTAGGGAAGCATTACTAGTTTTCAGCATTATTTTTTGTGAGTGCTATATAATCATCACTTTACCCCAAAATTAAATAAATGTCGTGGAAATCTTCATGGAAAAGCAAAGGCCTCTAAATTCTTCAGGAAAAAAAAAAAGCTGGTTGATGACTTGTTTGAAGTCACAGTGATATGCAGGAAATGTAACCAAACTATATTTTATTAATGATAATGCCAATTGATGTGAGACTTTTATAGCAAAATGCTTTAAAAAAAAAATTGAAAGCAATCAGTATAGCACTTAGTATCACAGAGTGATAGACATTTTGTAACACCCTGTTATGGGGTTCCTTAATAGTATTTGTTTTTGTTTAGTAATGGGGATCTAATTACTGAGTAGACATTTTTGAGAAAAAGTTTGATTCACATGTATTTAATCCTACATGTACAATATATGCATTTAAAAATACATAAATATGAGCCCATGTTAATAACTTCCTCAGAAAGTCTGATATACTCTGTGTCATATCCACATGGAAGAACTGATAGAACTTTATCATTGTCCTTTAATGATAGATACATCTAATCATCCACTAAGTATTTATGTCAGTTGTAATAATAGCTCATGGTCATAAATTTAAAAAGAAAAGGCTGTTTTTGTAGAATGAAAGGAGCTACAGGATGGGTGGAGGGGAACAATTATATTTGCTACTATTCTTGGGAAAAGAAAATAACATTTGCTAAGCATTAAGATCGTTTAATATTATCTCTCTTAGTCTTCACAGCATTCCATGTGGCTACATAGGTGTTTTCTCCATTTTTTTAGATAAGACAGGAAGTCGAGTGACTCATTCACAGTCACATGGTCATTACAAAGACAAGCTGTGTTTGAAGCCAGATTCTTCTTTCTAGTTCTTACATCCAGGCACTTTTCATGGCTCCAAAGAGGCTCCTGTCACTATGGTTGTTTCTATCATTCTGCTTTGTCTCAACTTCTGTCTTATACTTTTAAGAGAAAAGTCACGTAAAACACAGTATTGCAGGACAGAGTTAGAAAAACAGGAGCTCATAATCTGTCTAAACTTGCTATATTAACTTTAATTTACCTTTGATTTGGGGAAAAGAAAGAAAGCTGAAGAATCTGTTTTGGCTCATTCTGATCTATGTAGGATATTTAGAGGTTTGAGAACATGCTGGAAGTTAGAAATCACATCCAGTGTTAGAAATACCTGAATTTTAGCCCTGGCCAATTGGCTCAGTGGTTAGAACATCAGCCTGCGGACCAATGAGTCGTGGGTTCAATTCCAGTCAAGGGCACGTACCTCAGTTGTAGTTCATCCCAGACCTGGTCGGGGTCATGTGGGAGGCAGCCAGTCGATGTGTCTCTCTCACATCGGATGTTTCTCTCTCTTTCTCCATCTCTTCCTTTCTTTCCCTCCTTCCCACTCTGTCTGAAGATAAATAGAAAAATATCCGCAGGTGAGGATTAAAAAAAGAAAAGAAAAGACATATCTGAATTTTAAAAAAGCAAATTATCATTTTTCAAAAGTGCTGTAATGTACATATTAGACCAGTCAACGTTTTACAACTTTTTTGGTATTTTCTCATTCTTTTAAATTTAAATTGGCAAACTTGTTTTTGAATCCAAGAATGCTTGTGTTTGACTGGTACAATTATTGGCCATTATGTTTATGCAGAACACTTGGCTATACAGGGATACTGAGTGAAAACAGTAGGTTTTGCAAAATACCTGGATATCTTGTTTTAAATTTTAAAAATTTTTAAATTTTATTTTATTTTTTTATTGATCCTTCAGAAGAGAGTGAAAAGTAGGGAAGAGAGAGAGAGAAACATTGATATGAGAGAGACACATCAATTGGTTGCCTCCCGCACCTCCCAAAAGGGGCGGGAATCAAACATGCAACCCAGGCCTGTGTCCTTGACCAGAAGTTGAACACGTGACCCTTCAGTCTGCGAGCCAATGCTCCAACTGCTAAGCCATACCAGCCAGGGCAAATCCCTGGATATTTTATATATAATGTCTTTGATATTTGCCTTCTGAATTTATTAACATTTTTGGAAACTGTATATTTTTATTTAATAAAAAACTTTACACTTTTCAAAATATGATGCTAGAGAATTAAAAACAGCAAGGACACTCTCCCTGTTCTTTGGAGTGAACATAGAAAACCGAAGCCAAGCTGGGATGTTCATTTACAGTAATAACCGCTTGATCAAGATGCACGAGAAAGTGGGCCCACAGTTGAAACTGAAGTCCTTGTAAGTATGTTTTTGTTTTCAGAAGCACAGGCAGGATGGGGGAGGGTGATTAAACATATTGGGAGCAGGTGTCATATCCTCCGTTCACTCTTCCCATCAGTGTGCAGCCATTGATCTGTCTGGTTTATAATGCCAGTAGATCTGTAAGCCTGCTCTCAGGAAGAAGCTCACTTTGGGATATATTTTCAATGCATTTTCTGAGCAACTTGATATTTTACCATTCTTTGCGCCATTTATTCAAGTTTTTAGTATTTTACCAATTAAAAAAGTGATGCAAGCATATTAAAGGAATTTTAGAAAAGAAAAAATCCATAGTCTTACAAAGCAACAAAACCTTGTTAATATATTGTGTAGCCCCTTCATGTATGAGTTCTTGCCAGTTACCTGCTTGAGCGTATCTTTTTAACATTCTCTAGCCTGCTTGAATTCACAGTAGTACAGTCTGCTACTTTCCCAATGGTCTGAAACTCCACAAGCTGCTTTAATGAATTATGTCGAGTCCTGAAGAGAGACTCTAGGAAAGCACAGAGTCGGACAAGACAACCGTGACCAGTAGAATGGCTCAGGGGAAATTTTTTCATCTTGCTTCCTCACAAGGAATTAGCAACTCATTCATATGTTCATGTAACAAGCACTTATGTTGCAGTATCGTGCATGCCAGGCGTTGCACTAAGCTCTGCAGACAGGATGTGAAGACCTACTACCACTTGCTCAGGAGCTTCTAGTCCAGTGAATGGGATGACTATATAAATACATATTTTTTATATTGTATGGAAACAACAAGAATGATCATTTAAAACATAAAGTAGTTTACCATCTTGCTTAAAACCCCAGTCTAGGTAGAATAGAACTAGTTACCATGGTCTTCAAGTGATCTGGTCTCTGCCTGGCTCTCTGACCCCCCCTGCCCCACCCATACCCACCCTCTCACTGTATTCCCCTCACCCCAGCTGGCTTCCTGGTCCTCAGGCATCCTAAGCTCGCTCCTCCTTACGCCTTGGCACTTGCCATTTCCCCTGCCTAGACCCTTCTGTCTTTAGGTCTTACTGCTGGTCCCAGATGTCACTGAGGACCCAGCTCTAAAGTCCCCTTCACAAGAAGGTCTTTCTGGACTGTCTAAATAAAATTAGCCCCTGCCATCATCCTCCCCCACCCCCCACACACACATTATCTATCACTCTTTACATATTACAGCACCTGCTTTATTTTCCTCATATCACTTATCACCATCTGAAATGATCTTGTACATTTATTTGCTTACTAGCATCATGCCTTGTCACCCTTCAGTAGAAGAGAAACCTCATAAACAGGGACATTGTTTTTCTGTTTGTTACTGTATTCTTACTTCCTGGAATAGGGCTAGGTGGTCAGCATGAATGAATGAATGAATGAATGAATGAATGAATGAATGAATGAATACTAGAGCTAAGCATCAGTTGCAAAAAGACCATTTAGGAGAGGCAATAAACCAAACTAGTCAGGCTTCCTGGGAGAAATGATGCCCTAATTTAGATTTACAGAATGAATATTGAAGGGAGGGATGGGTGGGAGAGGAAAGTTTTGAAAAACTTGATAGGCATGGGCCCCCAATTGGGAAGGCTTGATTCGTATGCCATTCCAAGGGCATTGGGTTGGCCCTGAAGAGTTAAGAGTCCAGATACCCTTTCCCAAAACAGGTTATGTCACTAAGTAGAAGATCCTAGTTACATACATCATGAGCTGCTAAAAATGTGGGGGGAAAATCAAGTTTATCAATCAGACTAATAGGCAGATACCTGTTACTCTCGGGAATAATCCAGCCCTATGTTCCCTTAGTAGAATTCATTGAGCATCCCTTGGACCTTCGCAATGATGAGGAGAAAGCCAACTTGACAGATAAAATCAGGTTGAAGAAAATGACTCTCTGGCCAGTTTCACTAAGAGGATCATGCCAGTTTCTTGCCGCAAGGCACTGTTAGTGGTGTTTAATGCTAGGAGTCTTCCTCTTCCCACCCACCCTGACTCCCCATGTAAGGTGATAGGTTTGGAAAAGGGGGCATGTTAATTCACTAACGATGTACTGAAGCCATTTTGTATTATGAGACCAAATATACCTGGGATCACCATAGATTTATGGAACAAAATACAATCGTAAAGTAACTTGTTAACTTTGACATGGTTCAGACCAAGTGAACAAATTTATTTTTTTTAATTGATTTCAAAATATTGGGTATAATTGCTTTTTTTTTTTCTTAGCTAAATGTCACAAAATTTACATATGTATTTATTCCCCCAGACTTGGTGCAGGAGTGGTTGGAATTGTTAACATACCCTTGGAGATCATGGAACCATCTCATAATAAGCAGGAATTTCTCAATGTCCAAGAATATAATCATCTACTAAAAGTCATGGGACAGTTCTTGGTCCAGTACTGTAAGGACACCGGGATCAGTGAGTATCCGATAGTCACAGTAAGAGGTACTTAAAGGGGATCAACTTACGCTGCAGCGACTGCACAGATTCAGATAACTGCTAACCCAGTGCCCTGGCAGAGGACTCCTGCACTGAAAACGTGAGGGCAGTGAGAAAGGAGCCAGTCTCAGAGTCTTTCCCAGAATATTATGCAAAAAATAAAGCAGCAGATTAAAAAGTGTAATTGGAAGGCAGAGAGCAGTGTGAAGTGGCAAGCTGATCTTGGGGGAAGGAGGCAGCAGTTTGCTCCAAACAGGCTGAGAAACCCCCTCAGGGCTTCTAAGACTCCACTGTGGAAGAGCGCACAGCCCATCGGGACCTGAGTGGTCCTGCAGCACTGCTGTAGCATGCCATAAAAGAATCATTGTTGACCCTGGATAATTGTAGATACATTAAAATTTTTTTGTATATCGAACAAGTCTTGAATATATTTAATTCCAGAAAGATTCTAGTTAAAAACCGCTAAAATAAATATCTTTGAAAACTTAAAAAGATAAAATTCAGTTATCTGGAAAATTTGAATTATCCAGATCACCTCACTCTCTAGAGATACCTGAACAATGAGGTGGTATACTGTGCATTAATTAAATAAACGACCTGTAAGCTATGCAGATGGGGCTTCATTTATAGAAAGAAATAGGAAGCCTCTGTGTATTTGTTCAATGATTTGCATGAAGTATGTATAATTCATACATATCAAAAATTATGTCTCTACCCTTGAGACAACTTAAAATCTTATTATTGCTTCACTTGAGGTTGAAATTTTAGAATATTTTCTTTTCTTTTGTACTCATTTGTGTGAATTGATTTTGGGCTACAAGGTACTCTCAAAAAGATGTTCCTCTAATAGGGAGGCAGAGTGGAGAAAGGATAGCGAGCGTGTGCGCTTGTTCGTACCTCACACAACTTCATCCCAAAAGTTTATTATCGAACTGAGTCCAGTAATCAAGGTCAGAATTGGTAGTCCCAGGAACTGAGTTGAGGAGATTGACCTTCAAGGTCTTTGCTTAGTAACTCCCACAGGAATAGCCAACGTGTTATATAATGTTTGCCTGATACTCTGAAAGCCAGTATTACAGGACATGGCATTTTAATGAAAAATAGGCTGGGTAGGTTTTTTTGCCTTATAAATAAAAGATTCAGTATTTGTATTTGCTGTAAATCTGACCTGTTTCTGTGGAAAATTGGGCCCTTGTAAAAAATCGAATCGACAGAAAGGGAAATGGAGAGGTAATGACTTTGTCATTTATCAAATCTGCGTTTCCTTTCGGCACAGTGGATGCTAAGAATCTCAAATACTTCCCTTGTCTCTGAATCTGACCTCACCTCACTGTCTGCTTCTGTGTTTTCTGAACTTTTATGCATCCTTACAGTAAAAATGGAAATATTAATCATCAGCTTTTTGGAGTAGGGAGAGAAGAAGGGAAAGATAGAAACATCAACCGAGATTTGAGTTTGAACAGAAGCAATTACATAGGTATTTATTACTAAACTTTTCCAAAATGGGTCAGAATATGGCTGAGGTACTAAAATGAAATGTGATATAATAAGCATAACCTTTCCCAGCAGAACTCAAATTAGAGGGCCTCAGGTTGGCAAGGACGCTAAGAATCCTTTAATCCAGTCTCCCCTCCCCCATGCTTTATTCCCTCTGTCTCACCCACCCCTGCCCCAGGCAGGTGGACTGCCATTCTCAGCCAGAGTGAGGGCTTCTCATGAAAGAAAAACTGCTACCTCTTGAGGCAGCCTGTGACTATCTACACAACTATATTAAAAATGCATTTTTATATTAAAGTCAAATCTATTTCTCATGTATTCTTTCATCCATTCACCTGTGCTAGGCATGGAGTATTATAGGACTAACACATCAGACATGGTCCAGCCTCTCTGAAATTTACAATGCAGCAGAGCTCATATGGTTTGACAATTAGAAAAAGGATTGGTGTCCAACAGAGAAGAATGAGTGCTGAGGAAGCCAGGGATCCAGAGCTCACAGTCTAGAGGCCAGAGAAGTCCTCCTGGAAGAAGTGGTATTTCCTAAAGGATGAGATGGAGTCAGGCCAACTTAATTCTTCCTCTGAGGGGTAGTGAATGACTGGCCTAAAGGCCTTTTTAAATGACAGCCCTCCAGATATTTGAAGACAAGCATTTTGTCTTTGTCCAGCCTTGTTTTATCCTCACATTTTAAAATTTTACTGCTCTTCTTCCATTTAGCGTGGCATTAAATATATTCATCATTTTAACATTATACTATATAAAGTGGATCACCTAGAAACAAAAATGCCAGATGAAACCTGAAAAACCTTGAATAAAATGGGATGATTATTTCTTTCTTCTAAGAAGTTGTAACGCTGTTGATACAGCCTGATATAGTAACTGTCAATAAGCGTATTATTGACCCTCAGTGTTTTTATCACCAATTTAAATTCTCAATAAAAAATTTAATGTCTATTCTTGTTCAGCCATACTTTTCTTATATTTTCTAGTAAGTGTTTTTTGAAGCCTTGTTTAGGTTCATTTATTCCTACTAAATTTTATCACCTTATTAGGTCCATCCTTTCTGGTTGTCAGGACTTTTGGGGGAATTTAATGTTGACTTCTAACTAATGTGCTAGTTTTCCAGAGATGTTAAATTTGACCACTATTTTCTCTATGATTTTATTTACATCCTGTTTCAGAATCAGGGAAATTGAGCCTTGCACTTAGCCTTGCTCTGATGAACTGCACTGAGGTAGAAATAGGACATTGGGTGAGGACAATTAACCAATTACAAATGTTCCTAATTATGCTATCACCCAACTCATATCAACTTCTCAGTTTGTGTATAATTTTGAAAGTGAGGGATAATACTTATAGATGAATAGTTTTCTTTAAAAAATAGATAATGCTTTATGTCTTAGCTTGGGCTGCTATAACAGAATACCATACACTGGTGGTTTATGAACAACGTAAATTTATTTCTCACAGTTCTGAAGACTGGAAGTCCAAGATCAGGTGACAGCATGGTGGGGTCCTGGGAGAGCTCTCTTTTGGTTCACAGATGGCTGATACCTTGTAATATCCTCCTAGTGCAGAAAGAGAGTGAGCTAGCTCCCTGGCCTCTCCTTATAAGGCACTAATCCCATACATGAGGGCTCCACCCTCTGGGCCTAATTACCTCCCAAAAGGCCCTACCTCCAAATACTGTCACACTGAGAATTAGGTTTCAAATTTAGGGGGTAGGGTAGGGGGACAAACATTCAGTTCATAACACTCTAGCAGCTGGATGTAGCTAGCTACTCACAACAAAATGTTGCTTACCTTATGATTGTACTTTAGTGTCTAAGATCTTAGAAAGCCACTACAAAAAAAAAGTGAGATACATTTCCACTAGGAGTGTACGTTGAATGTAAAATATTAAAAGGTGAGACAATGAGACACGTTTATATAAAGATATAGGCCATAAAACAATTCATATCTCTTTTTTATTAGTTACGGATTTTATGCAGTCTATTTTTAAAATATATTTAAAAAAATGTAAAATGATCTGTTATGGTGTTATGGACTGAATTGTGTCTTCTCTGAATTTATATGTTTTAAATTTATGTAAATTGAAGATAGGACCTTTAAAGAGGTAATCAAGTTTACATGAGGCCATTAGGGTGGGCCCAATGCAATTTGACTGGGTTCTTATAAGAGGGAATTTGGATACAAAAAGAGACACCAGCAATAGTTGTGTACAGAGAAGAGACCATGTGAGGACAAAGCAAAAAGGTGGCCATCTGGAAGCCAAGGTGAGAGGCCTCACAAGAAAGCAAACTTGCAGACACCTTGATCTTGAACTTCCAGCCTTCAGCATTGTGAAAAAATAAATTTATGTTGTTTAAGCCACCCTGTCTATGGTATTTTGTTATGCAGCCCTAGCAAACTAATATATGTGTGAAATTGCAAAATTAGACAGAATTCAAAAGAACATTATAATGAAGCACATAAACCCATCTTCCAACCTCAATAATTATCAATTCCTGGGCACTTGGTTTCATCCATATCCCCCCGTTTCCCTACAATTGGATTAATAAGGAAATTCCAGATACTATATTATTATGTCTGTATGTATTTTAGCATATACTTCTAAAAGAAAGAACACTGTTTAAAAACATAACCATGGTGTATTGCACATGAAAATTATTAATATTTAATATGATAAACTAGTTTATTGTTTACATATTTCATAGTTCTCCTCCCTCATCCCTGTAGTTCCCTTGCCCTCTCTTGTTTTTCCTTGCAGTTTATTTGTAGGAGAAACTGGGTTTGTTGTCTTGTACTTTGTACAGTCTAAATTTTGCACATTGTATTATGGGGTGTAGTTTAACAGATTCTTCCATTCTATTTATTTTTATATAAATTTGTAGAGTCCAGCAGCTTGAACAAATGCTTCGTAGGTAGTAGCCTGTTCTTCCGTGGAGAGGCATATATTGTTTGATCATCTCTCTTATAATTATATTAACAGCCAATGACGAATGCTCAGATCCTTTCTATCATATTTCATCACTTATTAACTCTAATATTTCTATAAAGACAAACGTCCTTTCATCTGCCATGTTGTTACCCACATCCGCTGGTAACTGTGCTCTTTGACAGAGCAACAGTAGAGCTCTATATGCGAAACAGATTGTGTTGGATAAAAGCTTGCTGTGAGAATTAGAGATAAAAACATAATATTAAAAATGATGTAGACATTTTGCCTAACTGATTTATATGACATGAATATCTACTCTGTTTAAAATTGTTGCTTATGCTGCCAGCTCCCTGCAAACAGCAGGATGGTTCAGGAGTTCACTGGATTGACTTCTCTTTTAAAGAAATCACGTTCTTAGATTGTATCCATTTACACTGCTTTCACCTAGCAATTGAAATTATCACCATTGACAGCACTTATGCTTCCTTTTCTTTCTGACTGCACTTGTATTATTATCATGATAATGACGGTTTTATATCTA